TGCCATTTCACATGTCGTGATAAATGCACGACTGAATTCCCACATTCATTTATACACTTCCTAATACTTTTCTCAAAAAAAAACATGCTGCATATGATTCCCCACCCTGCTCATAATGCTCATCCTGCTGCTTGCTTTATCATTTGCACATGCATATAGATCTTCTGATAGTGCAAGCTTTTTCATTCATAGAACTGAGACTTGTTCTTTGTTTACAGACTCTTTAACAGCTTTAAACACGACTCTACCAAACCCAGAGCACCTTTCTACTTACCACCCCTTCTAGGTTACCTATCCCTTTCTATAGCTCCTATCACCGCTCACTTGTCTCCTCAGCAATCAGTCTCTAGGCTCTTTAAACACGTTGCACATGCAAACTTAGAGGTTGTCTCTAAGTTTTCAGGTTTCAGTCTAAATCCTCTCCACCTGACTTTCACCCCTTAACTTCTATCCTTATCTAAAAACAGCAACAAAATTCAGCAATTTCCAAATACCTTGTTTTTTTAAAAAAAGTTCTTATTTTCTTTCATGTACTTATGAAACACATCTGTGTGATCTTCATATACTTGAACCCTGAAATGGCAGAGAACAGAATGGCTGTTCTACAGAAACCCATTAGTTTCATTCCCTGTGGGGCTGTGAAAGAACAGCTAACACTAGCACTTCTTCATTAGGATCCAGTTTACTTTAAGATGCTTCTTCCATTTTGCTTTTTACATGTTCAGTGACAAGATATGTAGCATATGTACTCTTGAGGCATTTATTCCAAATGCCAACAGCCAAACTTCAGGTCATATAACTGCATTGCAAAATAGGAAAATGTGGAGGTAATTTAGTCAACAGAATGGTGCTGATACTTATGTAAAGTATTTTAAAAGTTGATTACAAGCAGCTTCTCCCTACCAAGCTGTCCAAGAGCATGGGAATGCAGCTGACAAGGTGTTTCTCAATATTGATGGTTAGCTCAGGACTGACACTGTATGCGTTCACATGACTGCAGGTCAGCTCAAAACAAGTCAGAACAAGCTTGCACCTGCTTACCACATGATGTATAGGGACACTTCCCACTTTGTAGAGCACAATTAAAGATGTATCATGCTGCAATCCTTTATCACTTGCAATTCTGAGCTATTTCACAATATATAAGCGATGCTGAAAAAGCTTTTAGGTCTAATATTAAATACAGCTCACTGTGCTCCAACAAAACTTTGGAAAAATGCATCTCTTGTTTCTTGAGTTGCTACTCAAGCATGCAGCTCAGATGAGGAAAACTTTGGCTGGGACACCAGTCAGGGAAACTGTATCGCTCGGCTACAAGGGAACATAAGCTTCCTTAAATAGTGGCACTGTAAATGCAATTAATAATTTCAACTGGAACACACAGCTTCAAAAGCCAGCATTCAGCACTTCTGAATTACCCTTTCTAAAGACCTGTACACCTGTCTATATTGCATGTCTGTTGTATATCCGCATGTCTATCTTGTGGCTGTTACAACACAAAGCAGGCAGTCTTTAGAAACCATGCAAACAACGCATCAATAAGCTTCTAAAAATATCTTTAATAATACATTTATTTAAAAAAATAATAAAAAAAAAAGTCCTCTTTTAAACACAGTACTTAACTTAGCCCTCAAGCCACCAAGTGGACGTGTTTATAGCCAGATGAGCTGCCCTATTTTTAGCACTGGAAACGCTACACCGCAAGGTACAACTGGTAAATCAGACATTGCCTTACCATCCTGAAACAAACACCTAGAAAAGAAAGAAAAACAGCATGAAATTACTTCAAACAGCACCGTTCCTAAAGAAAAAACCCAGCTGTGGAAGTTTACTACGAACTGCATAGGGGCGCATCCTGAGGGAAACTGACCCCGAGCGCAGGCTGCCCGACCATTTTCACTAACGGAGCTGGCGGCGGTTTCTCAAATGAAAACAGAGTCTGGGAACTGCCCTGACCTCACACCCGGCAGAACTGCCGCCAGCACGCTGACAGAAAACGCGGGCCTGACCGCAGGTAAAGACAAGGCCTTTCGGCACAGCACCTCGCGGAGCACAGCCGGCCTTCCGGCGAGGCACACAGCCACCCGCCTCCCCTCACGAGGGGCCGCGAGCCCCCCAGCCCACCCGGCTTGGAGCCGACGCCTCGGCGCCGCCCGCCCCGCGCGCATGCGCACAATCAGGGATCGCCGCTTGTGCCGCGCGCCCTTGGCGCCGCCTCAGCACCGCCGCCCCAGCCGGCGCGCAGCCTGCCGTTACCTTGCACTCGTCCGAACACTTCGTAATCCACCGACTTGAGCGCGCCGGAGGCCTTCGTCAGCGCAGACATTGCGGCCGTGAGAACGGAGTGCCGCTGCCGTGCGGCAAGCGCTCCGCGGGCCGAAACCGAGCCGGGCCGCCGAGTCCCGTCAGCGAGCGGCGCGCGGACGGCAGCGCGCGAGGCTCAAGATTCCGGAGCGCGATCGCCTAACGGCGAGGCGCCGCGCGGGCCGTGCCGTGTGTGTGGCGTTCACGGGGCTCCGCGCCGAGCGACGGAACGGCGCGCGCCTGTCGTGTGCCAGCTGAGGCAACTCGGCGACCTCTTGCCAAGAGTGACTGCGATAGAAATCAAATCGTCGTTCTGCTGGCTCTCCCCTTCACGCAGCCCCCCCACCCAGAGTAACGCATCACAGCCCGAGTCGTTCACGCGTTCTGATGTAAAGACAGCAGGGGAATTGCAAGCAGACCAACACTGCAAAAAGCGCTTTCGAGCCGCACCAGCACTGCTGGAAGCGGGAACGCAACCAACAGTTCCATCGTTCGCCTTAACCTTCTATCACGTTAAATCACGTCTTCTGCCTCTACTGCAGTCCTACGTTCTGCTACCGTAGAATCGGCACCATTTTGGTTTTCAATAGGATGATGCTACAGAAAGCCATCAAGGCGGAGCGGGCTGCGGTAGGGACGGAAAATCTGTGGTCATTTGCTGCCATCTATCGGCAATAATGAGCAAGAACGGGTCGAAACCAAAACGGCGTCCTGTCGAAAATACAAAGCGTTGCAACTCAGACCTTGAAACTGGGGTTAATGATGGTACTGAGGGCTAGATCTGCAGGTGCAAAATGCAGCGGCAGCCTTTGTTTTATCACGGGATTGAAAAAAAAGCAATCCTGCCTCTCAAATAAGTTTTCTTGTTGTCTTGTGTGCTCTTATCTATTTTAGCACAACTTCAAGCTGGAAATGCATCTTGTGAGCATCTCTGAACCAGGAAGTTCTCATCTGCTGCCCTCCTCCTCCCATCTTCCTCACCACAAGTAGCCAGTTCAATATTTTTTCTCCAATTTTCCATAACATAATTTTCCGTTCATTCACTAGATGACATCGTGCTTCTCGTCATCTCGTAACGACACAAAAGAGAAAGACATCACATGCAGTCCCAAGAACACCAAAAGACAGTACCACAAAACCCCAAGTATTTTAGGGTCTAAGTTGTCAATATCAGTAATCAAACAATATTCAAATACATTACTTAGCAAAAGAGCTGTAACGTGTATCATCTAGAAATTTAGATTGTGTGAAGTCAATGAAGTTCTGCTTCATTGGTGACCTTTTCTTATTAAAGCAAAGCAGCAACTGTAATTAATACCTGGAAGACAAATTCCTGTCATGATCACTATGTCACCAATATACACAGGTCACTGTTAGGCTCACAGCAGTTTCTTTCATAAGATTCATCTTTTATTTGTCCCTATTCCCTTCACTGTAAGCTTTCTTCTTTTGATCATCCCATAACCTTATTAATTCGAATTCATATTAGTTTGCTTTTATTCTTGTCTCTTTCAGAGTGCATTATTTTCATTTGTATTCTCACTTCTGATATTCAGATTGAATTCCACTCCCAGCACAGTAGCACCTGAGAACAATTATTACTCCAACTTAAGTTTGCTTATAAAGGATTTTTTTTGTTCTGAAAGCCTAGAAGGTTGCTTTACTCAGTAAACTTGTTGCATTTGGGGAAAAAAAAAAAATGAAACGCTGTTCTAGAAAAGGCTATCTTCATCATCAAGTCATTCTTTTCTACTCTAAACATCAAGCCTCTGGAAATTCCTCCTAGTGCTTGATTCAATCACAGTAAGCTTCTTTCACTGGCCAGTTTCTAATCACCGCATGGAAGAAAGGATAGAGAATCATTGTTAGAAAACACCAGAATTTGTAATGGTGCTGTCAGAACAATACATCAAGAAACAGAACAAGTAGGGCAGAGCAAGGAACTGAAACAGATACCAGTACTTACAGGTGCACTCCCACAGCACTTGAACAGGGCAGGCAGGAACACCAAAAGCCATCAGTACCCCCATACACCATAACCTTAAATAGCAACCACCAAAAATCAAAAGACAAAAAAATAAGATTATGATACAAAGCCAACTTGTAGTTAACCAACAAGGCCAGAGACCCAGCCCTGCAGCTCAAAGCAAGTGCAAGTGCTCAGTTCTGAGCCTAAATGGAGCCTCATGACTGAGGAGCAGAGGTCCCAGATGGAGCTCACCAGGACAGTTAGACCTACTGATGTCCTCTGGGCCCTGACACTGACCACCATCAGTTGCAATCTTTGTGATAAAAGGATTTTACACTTAGATAGATTTCATGTTAGTTAATAAGATTATTCTGAAAGCTGTAGCTTTGTTAGTTCTGTTCTTTGTCCACTTCCTGTTCAGAATAGGTGGAAAACCATTGAAACTTTCTTAAACGATTTCTCCTGCTTTCTTTCTATGTGGCTCTCTGTGATACGACACCATCACATCCACTGGATGTTTCCTACTCCCAAAATTACTCTTTGGTGTTCCTGTAGATATTCGGTAAGCTGCATAACCTCCCATGTTGCTGTCTTAATTTATCCTTCAGCCTCTAGCTTTTATTTCTCTGCACCATTTTTATGTATTATGGCTCCTTCTCAAACCTGTCTGTGATTGAAATTCTGCTCTGTTTCGTAGAGTTTTTTGCACCAACCATTAACTTTCCTGACTTTTCTTCAGAGTTCACCCCCCCTCTGCCATTGGCTATCTGAAGCTTTTATCTATTGTTTTCTCTAGATTATTTAATCATTTATGCAATTTTATTTCACCACTGTTTACCTGAGGCAAAGTCTAAACCTGACTCACTTACCAACAGCTCCCAGCTGATTCTGATGAGTGCTTTCCCAAAGGATATTGAAAGCTCTGTATAAAAGAAGCTCTCACTCCCTAGCCTCTGCTGGTGTTTGGAGAATAATGAGTGCTCAGGAAAAGGGCTTCAAGCTGTGTAAGTTAGGGTATGTGTTCAAGTTTTAATGTGATTTATGTCAAATATATGTAGTCTGTCTTTTAAAGCATTATTCTCTTCTTTGCTTTTTTAGTAAAAAGCTAAGTTAGTTTTCTTTTCAGTAGTTTTTTGTTTCCCTCATTACTTTACTTCCCCCCCTAAATTATATTCACTCTGGAAGTTTAATTTCTTAACAAAGTTAATAGGAGTTTTGCTTTTGCAGGCTTCATATCGTTTGAGACCCTTTGGGAGTCTTTATTTTGTTTACAACGTGTCAGTAGAACAAAATGTGTGAAGGCCTAATCTTGAATGCTTACAAAGGAAGAGACAACCTTCTCCTGCACTTTCCTTCCAATGGAGTGGCTAACTCTTTAAACACCACAGGTGAGGTTTCAAAGCCTGGATGACATGACAGGCCTCTGGGGGTTCTTACAGAACCTTTGTTTGCCTTGTTCTGAATTAAATGTATTGACAGCATTTAGTTGTAGAACTAATAAAGTGTTAAAAATGCATAAATAATTACAGGATATCTTTCAGTCTCTAAGCATTAGCTCAAAGCAAGACAGGGCTCCTGACCAACAAGGGCTTCAACAATACTGGGCACATTTAGAAGAAACTTAAAAAGGGAGCATAATGCATGTGGAAGAAGCAACTGAAGCAAAGATCGAGGCTTTGTGTGCTCCTCCTTGTTTTCTTCTTCTGCAGTGCGGCTCTTAGGGTGGGAGCATTGTCACCAGAGGGAAAAATTATACTTGAGCAAGCTTAAGCTCTGATGCTGAGTTAATAACACTTGAAGTATTTCTACATTCATACAAACACTCCTGATGCAACTTCCCCATCTGCTTACTTCTTCTGGCCAAGCTTAAGCACTCTGTACAAAACCACAGAAGAAGGGGCTTCTGCTGGGAGATGGCATCTGGGTGTGAAATTAGCAAGCCAAAAATGTAAAGTAGTGCTGTGCAAAACTCTCACGTTGAAACACAACGTGAAAACTTTCCTTTAGCTGTACCATAAGTTTAAAAAAAAAATTAAAACTGCCAAACTTGAGATTCAGGAAGCTAGATATAAAGTCCTTGGGGTCAAATTTGCAATAAACCCATAGCACAGTCAGGTGGGCTGGTTGCAGCCACCTGTTTCCTGATCCATTTGTAATGAGAGCCCCAGTAGGTCTGTGTGGGAGGACCTCCACCCCTGTGCAGTGGCCCATTTAAGCAAGGGAAGTGTTATGCAGGGGAAGAACCGTGCCTGCACTGATCTAATTATAGGAGTGCAGCCAAATTTTGTGTTTACTGGACTTAAATTTGTCCCTGGTTTGCTCTAAAATCACAAGCTATTTACATAAAGTAATTCAAGTTCCAGAGTGACAGAACTGTAAGCTCGTTATCTGAGTATGGCGAGATGGTGCTGTGTAAACGTTGTGATGCTCTGCTTTTTCCAAGCAGTTGCTGGGAGATTCTTCATGTAGAACTGTGCTAAGTATTAAATGCCATGGAAGGCTGCTGCTTTATTAAAGCTCTTACTCACTATGTCTTCATTCTTTCTAGGGCGTGAGTGTCCAAGCTTGTGGCTTGCCTGGGCCATACTAAGAAAAGAGGAATTGTCTTGTGCTGTATCTACATATGTTGCTCCAAAAGTAATGCCTCCTATTTATTTCCATGGTAAATACAACTGATTTGAAAGAGCACCATAACAATATTTGATAGAGTGAATTCTCAGCTACAAAACACTATTTTCCAACATAGTCTGCACCATTAGCTGTGCATTTTTGCCAGCAATTAACAACAACCTCTGTTGCCATACTCATAATAATCTGCAGCAGCAAAGGTGACTCTCTGCTGAAATGCACCAGCCTCTGCCTCGCTGTGCTGACCAAAGGCAGCTCCCTCAGCCAGCCCTGGGATGCCAGGTGTGCTGTCTCTCCCCAGCCCTGAGGCCCTGGGCTCTCACCCCATATGGCCACGTCTTTCCCATGCTGGAGTGACCAGGAGCAGGCACAGGAATCCACACACAGACTCGCAAGCTCCAAAAAACAGAGGAACGTTTATTGGTTTTGGTAATTTTGTGGGATGGGATCTTTTTTAATATTGTTTGTGTGCTTTTTCTTTTCTACTCTCTTTGTTTTGATTCGTTTATTGTTCAATGTTGAACAGACATCCTTATTCTGAGCCTCGCCCTTCTTCCCATCAGCACCAAAGTTTTCTGTTCCTCCATAGCAGCAGCCACTTCTGTACCAGCTCTGAGCCCTCCTCACAGCCCCAGGCAGCTCGGGTCCATCCTCCAGACTCCTCCTGTTGCCCCAGCACAGCAGCTCAGAGGATGCCGGTCAGAGGATGCTGGAGTTCTGGGCACAGGGTCCCCGTACTTATAGGACTTGGAATCAAAGGCTGAATCTTGACATCAGTAGGGCATGGTGATGCCATTCTAACAGTGTCCTATGGTGAACAAAACATGGAGATGTTGGGAGTTGGTGCCTACGGCCTGAGAGTTGGCCTGGTGTTAAAGGAGGAGGAAGGATAGAGATGCTGAGGGCTGTTCTCCTGGTGAAGGCTCCCCCATGCCATTTTGCTTGCTGAAGAGAATGGTCTCCTGTTAGGCATAGGCATCCACTGGGGCTCCAGCCACCTTCTCATTCCAAGCATGGGATCCCTTGGATGAGAGGATGGCAAATGTGTCCCATGAGGTCTGGGGAGGGTCTGCACTATTCTGACCCAGCTGCCTGCAAGTGGAGCCTCCTGGACGTGGAGCTGCTGCTGTCACTGGGGCAGAAGCAGTTTGCACAGCAGTGTGAGGGGCTGAGCAGCAATCAACCAGTTGGGCTGGGTGCGTTTGCCAGGCAGCTCTGCAGATGCTGTGAGTGAAGAGACGGGGATCTTTGATCCTTGGTAGAAATCAGATCCCTGAGAGATCACAGCCAGCTTGTTCTGCTACCTGAGATAAAGTGTTGAAGCAGGTGGGTCATGTGAGCTGTGGTACCTCCAAAGACTCTTCTGGGTGCATCTGTATCTCGTGTGGCTCCAAAATCCTTCAGTCATAGTTCATGTAAAAATCACACTCCTGGATGAGAAAATGTTCGTGCACTGTCCTCTGCAAGCCACGTGCAACCTTCTTTGTTTCTCTATCAATATTTATTTATTTATCAGAATGGGTTTTAAAAGTCTTCTAAGCCGTGATACAGTTGAATTTAAAAATAATCTTCCTTGTGTGCAGATTGTATTTTTAAAATGTTTTGGGCAATATCCTTAATGACCACAGAGAAAGTCACTGATAGAGAAGTACAGCGAATTCTGTGTTTTGAGCAAGGGAGCCTATGCCTTTTTTTCCTATAGCAAGTAGAAATGCAAGAGATACACACCGATTGCTCTCAAAGCAATGCCTCATGTTTATTTCCATGGGTACTGCAGCACATACAAAGAGCACACTAAATCTGTTTGATAGAGCAAATTCTCTTCTACTCATTACTATTTTTCTCACTACTAACCACTGTTAGCTGTTTTGTGTATGGGCTGATGGAAACCCTCTTCACTCTGTGATGTGACAGCTGTGCATGGGCAATCCAGAATGTGGCTTGTCTTTTGTGTCACTTTTGCCACTGCTGAAATGCACCACGCACCACCTCACTGTGCTCTGATTGCTGTTTTGTCCTCATCTGCCTTCAGCAAGTGTTGATGAATGTCTTTGGTGCCATTCTTTTGTATGCAAAGATTCAGTGACACACCCTTGCTTCTTATGCGCTTCCATGTCAGACAGCATCCTGTCAGACTGCCCCTCTGTTGTACAGCAACAGCATGCAATGGGATTCTGATGGGAAGGTTTCACCACTGCTGCCATCCCACCATCATCCACCTCTGATATTACGGGCCAACATCACAAAATAGGAGGCATTAGTTTTTTGGAGCAGCCTAAAGGATACATTTTGTGTACATATGTAACAAAGCTTACCGTATTTCTTACGTTTTTTTATTAGATCATAAAAAAAATAAAAAAAGAGAGAGCAACAAAAACATAAACGAATGGGATGTTTGACCTTGTTTTGTTGAAGCTAGGTTCAATGGCAGTGGCTGCAGTTCCCAGTGAGCTCTCAGGGAGTTTGTTGTAGATTTCTGATGACATTTTGCTCTCCGTGTGCTTCATCCTTGACAGCAGCTGTTTACAAATGTGCATACTGCCAGAAAGCCATGACAGGAATGAGGTGCGATTGTGAAACGAAGGATACTTTTCTCTGGGTTAGACAGACTATGAAAATCTATTAAAGAGACATTTATTCATTTTTGAGTTGAATCTCTGATTGCAATTCGATTTATTCTATTTGAAAATCTGCAGGAAATGTATTTATATCAACTGAAAATGGAGGAGTCACAAATATACAAAAAAAAATGGATGAGTTTTTCAGCAATCTTGAAAGCTGTTCTCAGATTCCTTCATCCAAACAGAAAGCTCAGCTGCATATTTTTCACTGTTTCCAAGTCTGTGTTTGTCCAGTGTATTAAAAGGCATAACATCATTTGCCATAGCGTGAGTCAGCACTGCACTGCACCCTCCCCATGCCCTGGGTTCAGCCCACACAGTGCCAACTGCACACTGACGTGTGGCTGTTGCTGAACTTTGGTGCAGCTTCCAGTATGTTTTCACTGCTGTTTGCCAGTTCCTTGCTTTGCTTAATGCTCCTTCACATAAACGATTAGGATGACAAACTACTCAGCCTCTACCAGCAAAAAGTTCAGATTTCTCAGTCTCAATTAAGCTTTGCATAGTGTTTCCACTGCTGCAGAAAACAGAATCCTCGGGTAAATTGGATGCAGTTGATAGTTGTTAAAATCTTGGTCTGAAAATCTAACGGAGAACTGAAAAGCACGGCAGAAATGAACGCTCAATAGGATGCAACTGGCTGTGAAGTCACACATCATCATTTTGAAATCTGCTTAAATAACAAGATGTCAGTAAATAAGACACGAGGGGACGAACTGGTGAATCCTGTAGCAGAGACACTCCAACAGAACTGTGACTAAAATCTACTGTATGCCACTGAACTCTCAAGTGTAGGAGTGAGAGGCTGAAATTTGGGGTTAGGTGTGGTAGTTCCCCACTGAAATGGTGGATCAAATTATCCTTGGCCCCACGGTCAAATCTAAACACTACTCACCTACTGTAATGCCCGTCAACATTTAATGTCACTGGGTATCATCTCAGTTTGGAAGCTAAGTATAACTTGAATTTAGAAGCAATGTATGAACCAAGGAACAACTCAACCATAATATTTTAATGTTATGAATCCGAGACCTAGAAGCTTTATGCAAATTAGATAGGATCCTAAACGAACGAAAGCAGAAAAGCATCTGGAAAAGCATTGTGCATGAGCAGATCGTTAAAGTCCCCGACTTTGCAGGCTGTTCTTTTGGCACTGTCTGTGTGATCTCTGTACTTCTTGAATTATTTAATTTAAAACTTAATGCTTCTTGAAGTTGCACTGGGCATCAGGGGGCTCTGAAAGGTGGAGGAAATTGACTGGGACTGGGAGAAGGGGGTGAGCCCAGGATTTCCTCTTACGCTTTGAAAAGAGCACATTAGCATCTTAGTCTCATGGCTCAATAGCAAAGCAGGAGATCAGTCTCACATTCCATTTAAGATCTATCCACACATAAGGAAGCACATTAACATCTGTGTGAAGCAGGGACCAATCTGCTGCCAATGGTTATAACATTTTCTCTTCTTGCACAAGGCACAGAGGGGGAGATGTGGTCATTTAAAGCAGGTAGTTATTTATTCCCATTGAACAAAGGGAAGTTTAAACATTACCCTTCCCACAGCCATTAGAACAATGATGTCAGGCTCTGTGGAGGATTTGGGGCTCTGGAAAAGATCAAAGAAAGCACGAAGGTGTGGGTTGCTAAAGGAACAGTGTATAATGGAGGTGGGTTGACAGCTATTACATTTTGCAGCACTGTGAAACTATTTGATTAATTCTCATTAACTGCGTTAGCCCACTATTTCTTCTCAAAAGCAGCAAAAAGAAGGCCTAATTAGTATTTCAGAACCTTGAAATGTGTTAGTGAAGCATTTGTCATCAGATATTTCAATCAAGCCTTGCTGTATGGATGATAACTTTGTTTTTTGGATTTGAAGCACTTAATCTGCTGGCTGATTCCAACCGAATGAGGGGAGTGTGTTTCAGAAACAGCTTGGAGTAAATTTGGCAAAAATCTCCACCTGTCAGGAGGAAGATTTGTTTGCTTCCAGGTGTGCTGAGGCTCCAGAAGCAGATCTCATGCAGTTTGTGTGCTACAGGCGAGGCCTCGTGTTTGCCAAAGGTAACAAAGCAGACATCATATTTTGGGGTTTTTGTTCTCTTTCTTTTGTCATAACCAAATGGTTTTGTTGCATTGCTAGAAAGGTCACTGTTGCCAGACCTCGATTTCCATCCATTTTCACACTAGATGCTGCCTTCCCCATCCAACCCAGTAGAAATGCTTGGTTTTGTTTTGGTAAAATGAATTCATACATGTATATTGTTAGCCTCAATTCACGTTTCAGATCTACTTGAACGCTTCTGAGAAATCTGTGGTTATCTGGAGAGGTGTGGATCTGTTTGATGTGGTGTTTCTGGATTTTTAAAAAGCCTCTGGCAAAATCCTTTGCTTAAGCAAGCTTCCACAAGGTTTAAAAAAGACTTTTGGTAGATTAATAACTGAAGAAGCAAATATAAGGGGAAGAGAAACTTGTCAAGGAAAATTCAAAGGGGATTTGTGATAGGACTCGTACAAACTATTCTCCAATAGTCAGGAAAAAAGGAAATCACTTGTTAGCTTGCTGATGGTTTTAGATAGCTCTGGGGAGCCAAAGCAAGTGCAACAGCAAAGAGCTACAGCATCTCAAAGTAAATGACTGAACGTTTCAGACAGCTGAAGTTGTGTTATTAAACAAAGTATTTTGCAGAACAAAAGCACACCAAACAATGAAACGCAGTGCTGGTTTCTGAATGAACCTCTTATAATTCCAGACTGATTCTGGAGTTATGCAGCCAGTTTTGAGATCGATGTGATGCTCTGGTCTGTCCAGAAAAGCACTGAAGAAAGGTATGCAAAGAGAAGTGTCAATGGACCAAAACAGTGCAGGCTGCTGCACAACTCCAGCTGTACCAAATATCGCATTGTAGCCATTCCTCATCTTAAAACAACAAATGAGCTTAAAAAGCAGATAAATAAGGAGATGAAAAACCCATCTATGTGCTATTAGACACTGTGATACAGCCTGTGACTCAGGTCTGCCTTCCATGAGCTGAAGAAAATGGAGAGTGCACAGAGGGGAGTAAAATATTATGCACGCCTGGTTCTGTCTTCGGTTTTAAGTTGTAGTCTTGGCACAGGAAGCTGTTCTTGCTGATTTCTGAAGCTCTTCTTACAGCAAACACTGGCTGAAATCAATCTTAATGAAACTAAAAACTTTTCTGGAAAAAGATTTATTTGTGTGGGCTGGAGAGAGAAAATGGCATGGAGCCTGGGAATCCAGGGAAGAAAAACAAGAAGAGATTAACATGAAAGGTTTTGGCATCAGAAAGATATTGAGCAGAGCAACTTTGACAGCGCCAACCACTCCCTGAAAGGCTCCTGGGGACCTGGGTGCCGCCATACAATGCTGTGTGCAGCAATGTGATGGCAGTCGATACACAGGGATGGCGGTCTCAGCTCTGTGGCCATTCTCACGGCTGCAATCTCAGTGCTGGAGCTGATGTAGCAGAAGTGTTTTGCTCGGCACCTAAAGCACAAGCTGTTCTAAGCTCTGTTGAGATCTGAAAGTGATGCTGACTTGGTAACAGCCCAGGCACCCCTGACACCATGCAAAATTGCCTTTCCTTCCAACTTCCCATTTCAAAATGCTTGCTTTTCAGAGATGTTCACTTTCTGGGGACAACCAGAGTGACTCTGAGCCAGTTTATGTAAATTTTGGAGCCTCATGGTACTGTTCCAAGTACTGATGACCAACCCCTTGCTCCATCCTTTCCACTCGAGCAAGGCTCACATCTCTAAGGACAACCATTTTTCCAACTGTGTCTCATCAGGTTTTGAGGTCATCAGATTAATTCATGGCACAGTTACAGGATTTTTAGCATGCATTTGCCAAAACCAAGGAAGTATAAATCAGATTCTGCATTCATCTCCTGCAGCGTTACTGAAAAGGAAAACACATGGGTGTTGTA